TACTAGGACCATGATCTGAGCAGAAGGCAGATACTTAACCGACCAAGCTACCCAGGTGCCCCTAGATTTGCTAATCTTTTGTTAAGGATTTTTGAGTCCATGTTCATGAAATATATTGGTCAGCAATATTTTCATAATTCTTTTATCGTATTTTGATATCAGGTTAGGTAGTATCAGCGTTATGAGGATTAAATGAGTTGGGATATATATATGTTAAATATATATACATTACATATATAAGTTGTATATAAATTATAAAATTATATATAAACATATAACTTAAAATGTATATATATGTAAAATCTATGTATAGATTTTAAATCTATATTCTCTACCTTTTCATTGGAGTCTTTACTTCACTTAAAGTTACTATTTTGGAACCAGGCTGTTCCTGCTGAAACTGTGCTGTTTAGGAATTTTTCTTTTTTGCTAAAAAAAAAAAAAAATTGTATATATATATATATGTGTGTGTGTGTGTGTATATATAAATATTTAAGAAATGGGATCCTAGTCATCAAAATGATTTGAGGGTACCCCACTTCTTTCCCCCACTTCTGGGACCCCAGCTGGTTTTATGTTTAAAAACTGTGGTCCTTCCTTAAATGAAATGACTTACCAAAAGTAATTTAGAACTTCAATGGCCATTATGGGAAACTTTCTCTCTCTCCAAACTTAACTTTTCTCAAAACTAAATTGGACAGCCACGGCTCTAAAATTGTCAAAACTGAATGGGATGCCTATTTTGATTAGTATTTTGAAGCTTCCGAAAGTTATTGGAAATCTAAAATTGCTTCTCTGCAAAATACAATTTCTAGACTAACTGAAGTAAACAAAGAAAGAAAGAAATAAGGGCTCTGAAGCCTCTTTTCTGCCTTCTCCATCTTCTTTGTCTCAGGACATGTGGCAGATACCCTGTTCTGTCTCTACCTTTGGTGCCATTTTTCTCGGCACCATCACCATCTCCTCTATTGTCCCTCATGCTAATCCTTTCACCAAATTTCCCTTTTCCTCCAAATCTTTCCCCACTCCCTACTCTCCTGAGCCTGTTAAAACCTGCCCCTTTAAAGTTAAGTCTTCTGAGGATCTTAATAAACCTCAAATTTCTTATGCTCTCTGGACTAAGGCCAAATTACAAGCTGTAAAGTTTCCTAAAATGACTGAGGACACCAATGGGTTTGCTGAAGAATTCAACATCTAGAAGAAGACCAAAATTTTCTTAAAAGACTGTTTGCATGGAGCACTGGGTGTTATAAGCAAACAATGAATCATGGACTACTACATCAAAAACTAATGATGTAATGTATGGTGATTAATAGAACATAATAAAAAAAAAGTTAAAAAAAAGACTGTTTGGTGTTGAGTTTAACAGTTATGTATATGTTTGTCAGGCTTTTGTGTGCAAGCCTGAATTTTGTTCAGCAAAACAAAATTAGCAGGCTTAGGAAAAGCTACTATAATTGCTTGGTGGAGATTTCCAGAGATTGTTCTAGCATCTTGCCAAAGATTGGCGTCTGTTTCTCTAAATCCCTTTTAGGGTGTCCCCACTGGGCTAGTTTCATCCAGTGTTTGGCCTGGTCCTCACACAAGCATGAGGGCTAACTAATAGAAATCTGAGAAACCAGGTTGGTAAGTTTAAATAACTTGGTCAATCTACCCAGGTAGCATTTAACTCTATGTTTATTAATGGACTAAACTAGAATGAGTTGGGATATATATATGTTAAATATATATACATTATATATATAAGTTGTATATAAATTATAAAATTATATATAAACATATAACTTAAAATGTATATATATGTAAATATATAAATATATATGTAAATATATATATAAATGTGCTTTCTCTTTTAGTTAAAGGGATGCGGATAGAATGGGAAACCATGTCCCCTCCAGATTTAGTTAACCTGGCAAACCAGCTCACCCACACCCTAGATGAGTAATTTAAAACAAAGACGTCTAAAATTCTCAATTGTCAACTCCAGCAAATGAAAGCCCCTAAACAAAACAAACAACCCTCCTTCCCCACTAGTTTCTGCTATTATTGCAAAGGGCCAGGACACTGGAAAAAAGACTGTTACAAACTTAAGTGCTCCAGGTGCCTTGAGCCCTTTAAGCCAGACTTTCCAATGTCCTTCTAATTCCCAACGGGGAACGCTGACAGATCACCTTTTGACTCCCTGTAACAATTTACAGGAAACTCCTCTAACCAATACAGATTTTACATGCTTTACTGATGTTTCTTATGTAAAGGATGAAAATGGTATACCATATACATACCACATGGTAAGTACTGTGCCGGTATGTTACTGCAACTCCTTTGAAGTCATTGAGGTAGCACCTTTCCCTCTGGCTACTTTGGCCCAACAATCTGAGTTATACACCTTTACTCAAGCTTGTACCTTAGCCAAGGGTAGAACCACAAACACTTATACCAATAGCCACTATGCCTTTAGGGTGGCTCAAGACTTTGGTAGGTTATGGAAACAATGAGGTTTCCTTACCCCAATGGGGATAAAGTTAAAAATGGTTCCTATGTCTAGAATTTATTTGATGCCATACTTTTGCTGCCTGCTCTGGCTGTTAAGGTCCCCAGCATTCTAAACTTGACTCCCTGGAGGCCAAAGGAAACCACCTTGCTGATATTTCTGCCAAAAATGCTGCTCTCAAGGTCAAAAAATTGACCAGAAACATCTAACAATGGGCCCCAGAATAGAAGAAAAAATTGGAAATCTAATAATTGTTCATTTGATAAAAAGAAAAAAACTGACTTGGACAAATTAACAATCTGGCCCTACCAGAAATTCTAAAATTCCCACTACTTACCACTGTACATGCACTAAACCATTGGTCTACTAACAAAATGATAGTGTTCATAAACCCACATTGGTGAGGAAATATTAATGAGGTCACAAAAAGTGCCCACCTCACTTGTCTCACCTGTCCAAAACACAATGCAGGGAAACCTGTCTGCACAGCTCTCCAACACTTAAAATTACCTCAAAGGCCATTCAGTTTTCACAAATGGATTTCATACAGCTTCCCCATCTAATGGATTAAATGTGCTTTAGTTATGGTTTGTATGTTTCCTCACTGGACTAAAGTTTTCCTTTGTAGACTGGCCACTGCCTCTTCTGTGGCAGAAATTCTGTTAGAAAAAAATTATCCCTACCTGGGGAACCCATTTTACCAGTTAGGTGCTTTAACAAGTCTGTGCTGTTTGGCTAGTTTTACAACACTTTTATTGTGCATACCATCATCAATCCTCAGGGTTAGTCGAACACACTGCTGACACCATTAAGACTCAATTGGCAAAATCTGTAAAGACCCTCCAAGTATCTTGGCCTAAAGCAATGCCTTTGTTCTTTCTAAATATCAGACCCCTTCCCTTGCGAACTCATAGACTTTCACCCTTTGAGACAGTCACAGGACATCCAATGCACTTGGCTCCTGATTCCTTTGACCCACAGTTGATAAAAGGAGATTATACTTCAATATTATAAAGGCCTAACTGCTTCTTTCAAAACTAACTATGCTTTGGTAGAGCAATCTTTTCACAGTGCACTCTCAGTAGACAAAAACTTTAAGCACCACATCTTGCAACTTGGAGATTTCATCTATTGGAAAAAAAAAAAAAAAAAGACAAAAAAACACCTCCTGAAAGACTCTTCAACCTTGCTGGAAAGCCCCCTCTCAGGGACTGTTAGCCAACCGTTGTGTGCCAAACCTCAAGGAACGGACTCTTGGATTCATGTGGCACATCTAAAGAAAGCCATCAAACCCTGACTGGACCAGAAAGATTTCCTGGAATTGAGGCAGACAACATCTGATGACACAGACTTCCCAAGATGTCTGGACCAGGCCTGTTAGAAGGTTCAGGAATTACAGAAGTCTCTCTTTTTCATCTAGAGTATTAACTAACTCTGGATTCTTATCCAAAATTCATGGTTTCCGAATTTTCAACTTTACCATATTATTAACACACTTGGTTCCAACAGTTCTTTTGAGATAACAATACTTTTTAAAAGGTCTTTGAAGTTTTGCTGTTTTGCAAAAAGTTCACCAGCTATTGCTTCATGTTTATACCTATACTGTATCTTCTCAAATGCACAAGATAATTCTTTCGGTGTGCTCTCGCAGTAATCACCATTCTGCTTTCATGACCATTTTAAGTAGGAAGCATACAGGACTCTGTTTGCCTCAGCAGGGGGAACTTTTCTCCCCTAAGTTGGAATAAGTGCCAGTATTTTTAGTTGGCTACTTTCAGATCTAGGATCCTGGTTTAGAACCATCACACAATTTGGAATTGTCATGTTACTTTCAATTGTGTACTTGTTGCCTGTCAATTAGAGTCTCGTCTCCTCTCCCCATCAAATCTTTTTAAAAATGATGTACTCAGACGATCTCCAACGCTTACAATCTTGATAAATACGGACTATAGATGGGGAAATGCCTGAAAGTTCTCCCTGCTACGCCTCGTTACTCAAATTTGACCTCAATAGGTTTCCAATTTGTACAATTTCCCTCCAAAGTGGGACATAACACCCAGGAAATATCCTTCCTGGCACTAAGGGACAAAAGGTCACTGAATTAAGAAGAACCTGACAATCAGCGATGCTTTTGGAGAAAGATCTTGACCAAAAGGAGGAAATGTGAAAAATAATAAAGGGGAAACCTCATTAAAGTGGAGAAGAGATGATAGAAGGGGAGGCTAAAAGGGTATCTCATACCACTGAACGTCAATTATAGGAACAACTATCAATTACAGACCCCAACAGAAGAGTTTCAATAGGAAAGAACCATTGATTACAGGTCCCAATAGGGAAAGATGTACACTGCACCTCCTACAAAATACAGACCACTCCTGCAACTCAGCCAAGGAGAAACCGTCACCTTGAACCTGAACTGACTGTTCTCCCACGGACCTTGGGTCAAAATAATCCCTCCCAACTTCTTCCTTCTTCTCCATAAAATCATTCTCTCCTTTGTTGAACTTACCTATGGTTTAGCCATAGCTTGCACGCAGCGAACTGAAATGCTTTGTTATTCCAGAATAAACGCATTTTTGCTAGTAAAGTAACAGGATTTTATTTTTAAGGACAACTTAATATCTACTCTTATTGTTCACAAAGGGACCCAAGAAACAGCAATGGGGTGGGGGAGGGTGGATACCTACGGCATTTCGACACTCAGGAACGCCCCACCGCGGGACAAAAGGAACTGGGCCACCTCTTCCTAAAGCAGAGAACCTTCGGAGGGCGACGCCGCAGTCTGAAAAGCGCGGGCCTGCGGACGCCAGACGCGGTGTCACACGCAAGGTGGCCCGCTGGAAACACCTTCCCCCCTCCAAGGGATCCGAGTGTAAGGGGGAGAGGAGACGAGACTCTAATTAAGGACCTAGGACCTCATCCTCGTCCCTGCCAGCGCACCACAGGACCGTCTCTTCACTCTGGCCATTCCAGACCCCGACAGACGAGCTGCACAGCAGTATCTGTCCTCTCCGGATTCACCTCCCTAGATTTCTACCCGGACCGTTTGGGGAGGTGCTCTGAATCTTATTTCCGGTGGCGGAGAGGCGCAGTTGCCATGGTAATTAAAGGAAAGGCCGAGGTCGGTTGCGCTGCGGTGACAGGATCACGGAATCCGTGGAGAGAATTGGCTGTGCTTCCTCGCGTGTGAGCTGGAATTAGGTAGCAAACAGCTGGCTGTCTCTGTGTCCGCGCTGCGCCCTGCCTCGCTGTCCGGCTTCCCTCCCTCTCACCTGCTTCTTTTACTTCTCTTGCCATACCAACGCTGGGTCCGTGTGTACCTAAAGTGTACGTAAAACCGCATCTGCGTCGTAGAGAAATCAAAAAACAGAGAGGTTGCCCGAGATCAGCTGTGAACGTATTTCAGCGTGTAGGGCCGGGCACTGGGCGGCTGTGTTTCCCTTGGCCCTTCAGTAAGCCTTAGGCGCTTGTTAACAGTTTATTTTTCTTGCTGTTGTGTGGCGGGTTATTTATGGAGCCGTTTGCTACAGTGTGCTCTGTAGGCCCCCGTCTTGGTCTCGGGCTGGAGTTTTAAGTGAAGGCGGTTTCCAAGCCTGAGGGGTGCAGTTGTATATTTATTTAAGCCTCCGTTTGGTCTCTCGTCACAAAAAGGGAAAGAATAGACTTCTGAAACATTTCTACTGTGGGATTTCCACGTAAGGTAGTCACCTTATTTGGAAAGAGTATTCGAGGACGATCCCACCCTCCCCCCCAAAATACTTAAGTTTAAAAATTGCTTGCTGCAAAATGAACATTCATTCTTCCTTTCTTATCGGAACAGTTTTTCCCCCCCACATTTGTGAGGAGATGCGTGCACGCATATGTGGTTAAAACTGATGCTTAATTATAGTGATATCAATTCGCAGTAACCAGACTGTGACACCACATCCCTATGGGGTCCTTCTAAATCTGGTGTAATATGAAAGTGTCAGGCAGGCAGTCTGTGTATTATAAATAGGGTACTTCATCCATGATAAGCGATTATTATCTTTCTTTCCCAAGTGTAAAAGACCTATATAATTCAAGAAGGTGCAAGTGATTTAGGCCTCCTGAGTAAGAATCCAATGAGTCCTGAAGGGGACCCTACCTGTGTCGTCTTATTGTTGAACTTGAAATATTCAATTTATTAGGTTGGAATGTATTTTTAGAAGTCAGAGCTGGGTAAAATAATGTTGGAAGCTGTTAGACCACTAACAGCTAATTGTTGGAGCACAATTTAGTGCCTCATAGTAACTATTGTACAAGAAGCCTTCATTCACATTAATAAAGAAGAAACTGTTATCAAAATTTACTGCCTCTTGTTACTGCTAGCTGGGTGACATCTCTGTCTCTCAATTTCCTTATCTGTAAAAGGGACAAAAAATACCTGACCACTGTAATAAAGATAAATTAAGATGTATGATAGTTCTTTAAGGCTTATGAGCTGAGGTACTATATAACCTCACAACATTATTTGTAATGAATGCAGTAAAATCTCACAATAATGCTTTAAATAGGATCCAAAAAATTCAGTCATTCAAAATGTTGGCCAGCATTATTGAGATGTTGCTGAAGTGACCTTGTTGCTCCTGCTGAGGTGATGGATGCCAACTGCCAATCACATTACATCCAAATTCTCATTGTTGCAGAGTTTCACTCTTTCAAAGTTTATTTAGCACTTACTACTGCAAGGCATTGTTCTGTATGTTTCACGTGTATTAACATATTTAATCCTCATGACAACCCTATGAAGACTTAACTTACTGTCCTCTTTTTTTAAAAGATTTTATTTATTTGAGAGAGAGAGCACAGGAGAGAGAGCATGAGCACAAGTGGGGGGGGGAAGGCAGAGAGAGAGGCAGACTCCCCACTGAGCAGGGAGGCCAATGTGGGACTCTATCTTAGGACCCTGGGATCATGACCTGAGCCGAAGGTAGACACCTAATCGACTGAGCCACCCAGGTGCCCCAACTTACTGTCCTCTTATTTTGAGAGTATTGTTGTGTGCTTTTCCTTTCCTCTATGATACTTATTTTGTTTTTATATTACATCTTTGCTTTGGCTTTATTCTTTTGGCTTTCTCATATATATGTATTTTCTATATATATTTTGTCTCATATAGTTGATTTCGAAATACGCACATATATATGTGTGTGTGTGTATATATATATATACACACATATATATATATATACTGCCAAAGGCGTATTCTAATTTAGCATATAATAATAACACCATATGTGTATTATATTTGTCTTTTTTCCCCATATATGAAAACTGTAATGCTTTGATTCCTCTTCCCCCCATTTGAAAGGCAAAGTGACATTTGCATTTTAGGGGATTAACATTGATTAAAATTTTTAAATTATTTTCTAATAGAATGGCCATCAGTCCAGGAAGAGATGCAGCTTTCTCCAGTCAGAAGTCAGCGCTTTCAGAGAGTCCTCGAACAAAGAAATTTCCACTAACTGAAGAAGAGACATTTTATATGAATTGTAGAGCTGCCTACTTAACTGTTTTTAAAAGCAGCTTAGAAAACATTATTTCTAAAGAACAACTTTACTTGGGTAAATTTTTCTTTAAAATATACGTATTTTGCCTTATTTGTTGAAAGTTAATAGATCAGAAAGACAGGAATAAGAATTACATTGTTGAATCATCCCAGTTTCTTAGGGAAGCTTGAGCAATGGAACTACATTATGCTATTGTGCCATTTTATATATTTATATATTCTATGTAGCTTCAAAATAAAACATTCAGTGTTTATACAGACTAGATTAGTATTTTTAAAGCTTCCATCAATTACTTGCTTAGAAATATTTTTTTAAAAATTCTTACTTGGTACTTTAAGATTTATATAAGATTCTATATGGATATATATATTTATTTATATAAGATTTATAAGATTCTATAGTAATAGAATTTAAAACACTTGACATCTGAATCACTAGCCTGAATTTGACCTATAATGGGGAAAATGTAAAGAATATATAAAAACAGGTTGAATGATTGTAAAAGAGAAATATTAGGAGATAAGTAAAATTTTAGAAGTGCTGTTTTTGTTTTTTTGTTTGTTTTTGGTGGGGGTAGGAGTTGGTCTTTATTTTTTTTTTAAAGATTTTATTTATTTATTTGACAGAGAGAGACACAGCAAGAGAGGGAATACAAGCAGGGGGAGTGGGAGAGGGAGAAGCAGGCTTCCCGCCTAGCAGGGAGCCTGATGCGGGGCTCGATCCCAGGACCCTGAGATCATGACCTGAGCCTAAGGCAGACACTTAATGACTGAGCCACCCAGGCGCCCCAAGCTGGTCGTTTTTTTGCTTCTCTCCATTGTCATATCTAAAATTTCTCTGTAAATATCCCTCAAACCAGTGAATTTTGTCCTTGCCAGGTATATCAAATGACTTGGAGGTCTTTACTCTTGAAAAAGTGGTAAACAATACCAGATAACACTGAATACTCATGTCAATTTCATCAAGGCTAATAATTTTATGAATGGAGAAACTGAGTTATTTTGCCAAATTTAGAAGCGGTTTCCTTAAAGAAAAATTCTGACATATTTTTGAAGTAATGTCTTGGGTCTGTATCCAATAAGATCTCTATTTGAGGAAATCCATATTTGAAATATGAACATTGAAAATATTAAAATATTTTATTATAAACGATACAAACATTAAATTTATATTTTATTATAAACTGTAATTTTAGTTTTTATTCTTTTGAAAGTAGTCTGAGATCATGAATCTTCTGTTTAAAAGTTTAACCTGTATTTCGTTATTATGGCATTTAATTTGTGAATCAGTAAGTATATATTACTAAGGTGCTACCAGTCTTAGACAATATTCTGGATAATTCAGTGTTTATCTCTTCAGTGTTATATACACTTTTGGTTTTATGGTGGAATTCTCTTTGTAACATTATAATGATTGAGTTCAGATAATCTAGATTTTTAAAAAGTAGGGTAAACAAGTGATATCTTTCTTATTACTATATCTTTCATCTATATCTTTCTGCCATTTATGCATATAACATGTGCTTTGACATTCCATTTCAAGGTTGGACAGAAGAGTAACATTATCAGAGTTTTAGAGTTCCTTTTTTTTCCAACTTATAAATAATACAGGTATTATAGACTCACGTCAAAGCTTAAAGTAAACCCTGGCAAAAGATCAGTATTTTCGTGTAAACCTTTAAGCATTTACAGTTACAAATTTTTACTGTTATTAGACATAATAATGGACTCCCAACTAATTCTAAAATTAGAAATTTAGTTAGATTAGTAATTACTAGGTTATACCTATTTCTTAGATATGAGAATGTGTGTTTACTGAGTACACGTTTAGGCATAATCTTATTCTAAGAAAGTTGTTTTGTAATTAATAGTTCATTAAAAAAAAGGTATTTTCTTTGTTTTTTTAGAGGGGGGAGGGGCAGAGGGAAAGGGAGAGAATCTTAAGCAGGCTCCATGCCTACTGCAGAGCCCAGTGTGGGGCTTGATCTCACAACCCTGAGATCATGACCTGAGCTGAAATCAATAGTTGGAGCTTAACCCACTGAGGCACCCAGGTGCCCCCAAAAACCATTTTGTTATTGAAGACAGCACCAAGTATATGCTGACCTGCCATTTGGGAAAGAGTTACACA